CCTATTTCAGTCCAATTTGATTGCACATAATGGGCCATATGGTTATTTCTGGTTGTCTTTGTTTCCTTTTAAAGCTGAACTCTGGGCAAACAGCCAAAGACACAGATGAAATATATATATATGAGCTGTTTTGCCTGCCAAAAGATTTGTATTTCAGTCTATCCAGTCTTGATATTTACACGGATGTGACGCACAGAAAAGTCCTGGCCAAGGAGGGAACTTGATCTTTTTCTGCTGTATATTGACTTTCCCTTACAGGTCATTTTCTTTGTCTTTCTGTTCTCTCTTGGTGTTAGCATGCTTATTGCACTGCGCACAGCTGATTGGCTCCTTGTAGGGATGCTCCGATACCACTTTTTTAAGACCGAGTACAAGTACCGATACTTTTTTTCAAGTACTCGCCAATACCAATTACCGATACTTTTTTTAAAGGGACAGTTCACATTTTTTCTAAAGCAATACAAAATCATGATTTTAGGTCAGTTTCTTAATATTATGAAGAACATGAAATTAATATTTATCATGCCATTGCTAACTAAGGCTTGTATCCCCATAGTGGGGAAAATAGATGAGCACATGTCCAGACCAGAACACTGTATAGTATGGCACGGCTATATCCAATTCTGCATACCTGACTTTATATTAGAAGAACTTTATAATATAAAGCCAGGTATGCAGAATTGGATATAGCTGTGCCACACTATACAATAATACTGTTCTGGAGTCTGGACATGTGCTCATCTATTTTCCCCACTATAGGGATACAAGCCTTAATTAGCAATGGCATGATCTAAATATTCAGTTCATACAAACAGCCATCGCTGGCTGTTTCAAATTCTGGCGGTTTCCCATGCGGGCACGAAGGGCGTTTTAAGGATGCCCACCCGCATCCAGAAGACTCCCGTCCGGCCGTTCCTGAACGTTCGGCGGACGGGAGGTGGTTAAAGTGTCACTAAACTCAGGAGTTAAATCTTAAAAATGCATTCAAGTACCATAACTATTAACAAAAATGTATCTTATTCGTATATCACTCAGCTGTATATCCTCAAATCATATCTGAATTGGTGCAGACACTGTCCTTCCTTCTGGAGGGTGACTACTTTTGTTCCCCATGGACTGTGTGTGTGTTGTAAAGTAGCCACCACTCCAAGCTTGCTCCCGTGATGGACTACTATCTCAAAACAAATTATTAAACTAGACTTGAGATATTAGTCCATCACAGGAGCGAGCTTGGGGCGGTGGCTACTTTACAACACACACAGGGAACATGGGGAACAAAAGTAGTCACCCTCCAGAAGGAAGGACAGTGTCAGCACCAATTCAGAGATGATTTGAGGATCTACAGCTGAGTGATACACAAATAAGATACTTTTTTAATAGTTAAGGTACTCAATTGCATTTTTAAGATATTTAACTCCTGAGATAAGTGCCACTTTAACATCAATTTGAGATGCTTCTTAAATCATTAAGAGTTCATTGAGATGTGCTTTTGACCTCTTTCTGACCTGCATTTAACCACATTGTAAGCTGTATTAATGTCAAGCTTTTTTTTTTTGCATTCCTGTTTACTTTATATGATGAAAGAAGCTGTTCTAAAACAAACAAAAGCCTACATTCACAAGTGTTTAGCACACACAGGCACTTAGTCAGAGTGCTGTATGACTCAGTGACTGTGTGCGTGAAATGCGTCAGTGGTCTCCATTCATTTTCTTGTTTAATGCTTTTTATGAAAGAAGAAAGCAAGGGTTCAGACATAGCAGGTGTGTGCTCATCCAATTTTCCTGTATACTAATACAAATTAAGTGGCAGGTAAAATAGCTCTGGAAATCAGGCTTACCAACTTAAAATGGGGAGCATTATTAATAGTCTTCATACTGCCTTTTTAAAGGAAAACTGCTATGAGAAAAACATGAAGGCTGTTGTCACTAGCTTCTCGTTCTAAAAAATTCTAGTTGCCTGGCTCTCATGTTTATTCAATGGCTTGACTGCTTTCTGAGTCACTGACTTTGAACATGTATGAAGAGCAGGGGTTCTGACTACACTCTTACTTTCTGATCTACATAAATGTTTTTGGGCAGTCATCCAGAAATCATAGCAGCCATTGGATCAGCATGCCAGCCAGGCAAAAGATGGACAACTTCGGTGGGTGCTGCAGTGGGCAATGAAAGGCGCTGCTCACATCTAGAAAAAAAAGATAAGTCATCAGTACCTTAAATTCCTTTAAAATCTTAAAAATGCATCTACATTAAGTACCCTAACTATTAACAAAACGGTGTTTTTTTTTATTTGTGTATCACTGGGCTGTAGATCCTCGAATCATCTCTGAATTGGTGCTGAGCTTGGTGCGGTGGCTACTTTACAACACACACAGGGACCATGGGGAACAAAAGTAGCCAACAAAAGAAGGGAGGGCAGTGTCGGCACCAATTCAGAGATGATTTGAGGATCTACAGCTGAGTGATACACAAATAAGATACAGTTTTGTTAATAGTTAGGGTACTTAATGTAGATGTATTTTTAAGATTTTAAGGAATTTAAGGTACTGATGACTTATCTTTTTTTCTAGATGTGAGCAGAGCCTTTCATTGCCCACTGCAGCACCCACCGAAGTTGTCCATCTTTTGCCTGACTGGCATGCTGATCCAATGGCTACTATGATTTCTGGATGACTGCCCAAAAACATTTATGTAGATACATTTTTGGTTATAGTTAAAGTACTTGAATGCATTTTTTTTATATCTAACTCCTGAGTTTAGTGTCATTTTAATCAATACATCTTTATTGATGTTTGGTCATAGAATCACAGGAATCCCAATGTTTTAGGGGCACCAGGGGGTCCCTTCATCAGGCAAACAGTATGTATAGCATAAGTGTAAAACACTGCAAAGCTTGTCATCGCTATATAAATACCTGAAATAAGTAAATAACATTAGAGGTTTACTCTAACTAACCCAGCTGGATGACAAAGTTCAGTAATGCCAATCAGTGAGTGTCAGTGTGTCCACTGCCACATGTTTTTTTTTTCTTTATCAACTTATCAAGAAAGACTGAGTAATAATTATTTTGCTCTTTACCGAGATATTAAATTACCCCCGCATAAGCAGCACACAGACTGAGACAGTGCAATCGATAAAAGTATATTTTAGGAAATGTGGTAGTTGGGAGTTTTCATCACTGTGACAAAATTATCACCGCATGTGCAGATCGAACATTCATAATGAAGCAATTTTCCTTCAGCATTCAAAGTCTCTGATTTATATATCTTGCTTAGTTTTGTTTATGTACAGTGCACTTGGGGAAAAATGAATGGATCTTTTCTCAAATTCTTTGGCCTTTATTTAAAGTGACACTAAACTCAGACGTTAAATCTTTAAAATGCATTTGAGTACCTTACCTATTAACAAACATGTATCTTACGTGTATCTTAACTTAAAATACCTAGAAAGTGTGTTGTAGGCTCTGTCCTTCTCCTGCCTCAACCCCCTCCCCCCCCACATCACACATAGTGATGGGCTCGGGCGTGTTCGCAGCTCCACGTGCCGAGCCCGTCAGGAAGCTGACAGCGCCAATCACAGGCGCTGAGACATTTCCGGATCTCTGCAGCTGAGGACCGGGATAATGTCTCAGTACTGTACCTGTGATTGGCACTGTCCGCTTCCTGGCGGGCTCGGCACGTGGAGCTGCGAACACGCCCGAGCCCATCACTAATCACACACACACACTGTCAATTCCTTACTTTGAAAATGATAGCTTGGAGTAGCAATATACATATAGAATCTGCTGTGAAAAAAAAGTCTGTGTTAGTTTTGTATTTACTTCGTTTCATTAATTTGCAGATTAAAGGGATGAGCTTAAATCTGCATATGATGACGGTTAAAGCAACCTGAGAAGGTTTTTCGGTATCAAGTACAAGTACCGATATTTTGCTTTCGGTACTCACCAATACCGAGTGCCGATACCAGTGCTTCCGCTGCCATGGAGCCGGCTTCCCGGGCAATTAGGAAGCTCAGCGGCGACTAATGACATGCTACCCGGCGTCCTGATTGCCTAGGAAGCCGGCTTGATTGTGATTGGCCGGGAAACCGCCTTCGCCGGCCAATCAGGATGCCAGGCGGCGAGTAATGACCTGCCTTCCATTTTCCTGATTGGCCTGGATGCTGGCTCAATGCTGATTGGCTGGGAAGCCGGCTTCCCAGCCAATCAGGGTGGCAGGTCATTACTCGCCACCTGGCCTCCTGATTGCCCAGGAAGCCGGCTCCATGTTCCCCTAGGGTACTGCCGGTGAGGGGAAATCTTCCTCTGACCAAAAGTCCCGGTATCGGGGAAAGGTATCGGAGCAATATTCTATCGGCACCTGATACCGATACTAGTATCGATATCGGTGCATCCTATATTTTTATTATTTATTATTACTCTGTTCAGTCCTAACTAACAACTTCTTCCCCTACTCCCCGTTAGCTATTATTTTCCTGCTGATTTTTTTAAATTATTATTTCTATTTTTCTTACTAATAATACTTTTACTTTTTTATTTGTAAATAACTTTGCAAAGCTTTTTCTGTTAATGGATTGCACCAAAAAAAATAAAACTTTTTTGAAAGCCTATATCAAAAAAGGTCTTGTTACAAAAAAAAAAAAAAATATGTGAATTGCTTTATCTTAAATATTGACAAAGTTATCGTTACCAGGTCCATAGCAGTTAAAATTGCTCTGGTCCATATGTGGTGTACAGGTGTGAGAGCTGAAGTGGTTAACAAAAGCTGATTACACTAAAAAATACACTACTTTTGCCATTCTTCTAAATATGAATAACGTTTGTGCCGATTCAAGAACGTTTACATGTTATGCATACATACACAAATAATTTTTTTACATAAATGTCACTTGTATTTCAGGTTCTTTGGTTCTGTTTGGTCTGCTTTATTCTTGATACTCTATCTTATCTTGTAGCAAAAAAGACAACTTTTTGCTCACATCTATTTTACATTATGGTTTTTTTAGGAAGAGCTAGCAAAGTTCCAGCAGCTAACTAAACAACTTCACGGGGCTCATGAAAAAGTGGAACTGGTAAGCAAAATGACTGCTTCATAAAGGCAATTATGACTGTGATGTGTGAAATGTAACAAAGGATGGCTGAACGTACAGTGCTAAACTGTCAGTGTGTTTACTGAGGTATGAACAGTACAAATTTTAGGGCCCATTACGAGCTTTTCATAAGACAAGTGTAATGGTGTATTGAAAGCGCAGGTTAAGTTCATTTCGGGACTGAATACACTTTTATCTTCTAATATTTTAAGGGGGACTAAATAAGCCATCAAAGATTAGCTGGCCACTATTTGCAGTAATGTGAAAATCTATGTTCCGACCATTAATCGGGTGTTACAGGAACCTTTTGTCTTGGATATGATATTTGGCACAGCAATATTAGGGATACATTTTGTGATTGTATTTGAAACAATCAAAACATTAAAACATTATGTTCAGTAAATGATTTTTATAGCAGACTGCTCAAATTGTCTGACATTGTTTAACAGTGGTAACGTGCTATATAAATTTGTTAGGGGGGAAGTATGATCCATGTGCTTGCTGCCTTCGTGACCAGAGTTATTTGTCCTTAATGTCCTGTTAGTTGTCCTTAAAGCCCATCTGCGGACAAAGGAAATAAACTTACCCTTGCAGTGCGTCTACCCCCAAGCCCTGCGCAAAGAACCTCATGCTGAACCCGGGCACACATACGCACAAAAACGATGCCGCCTAGGTGTGAACCCGGTCTTAGTTTTGAGTCGCTGGAGTCATAGCTTACGTAGGGCTAGGGACTGCAATGTGATGGTTCTGATTGGCCTACCACTGTCACATAGACAAGACACATGTTTCTCCATATCTGGAAGTACCTGCTGTTGCACTATTTCCTATCCTCCCAAAGCTAAAAAGCATTAAAACTAGGGATGCACCGATACCAATACCAGAACTTCCGGTATCAGGAAGCTGGGCGACGAGTCAATACACGCTGCCTCATTGGCCAGGAAGCCGGCTCCATGCTCCCTCGACACTTGGTGATGAGGGAGCATGTAGCCGGTTTCCAAGCCAATAAGGAAGCTGGATGGCGTGTAATGACTTGCCGCCCGGCTTCCTGATTGGTCGTGAAGCTGGCCAATCGGGCAGCGAGTCATTACCCGCCCCCTGGCTTCCTGAATGGCCAGAAAGCTGGCTTCATGCTTCCTCATCACCTGGTGAGGAGGGAGCACAGAGACAGCTTCCCGGCTAATGAGGAAGCTTGGTGGTGAGTCACACGGCTACCTTAATGGTATTCGTATTCGGTATCGGCGAGTACCGAAAAAAAAGATTTCAGTATTCGATACCGAAAAAACGGTACCGGTGCATCCCTAATTTTAAAAAAAGGCAAATAAATGCTGGGAAGTGTAGGGTATTAAACAAACCTGTTTCTTTGGCTGGAATGGGCAAACCCCGGATTTTGCTTTAAAGCAGAACAAAAGTAATCATCTCAGAACTTTTTTTGCATATTCCCACATATAAGTCACAACCAAATGTTACAGCTGCAAACATCTTTGATGTGTAGAACTCAGATACCTTCCTTTCTACCTCCACCTAAAAGCATAGCAGTGGTACTCACAGTTCTCATGAGTGGCTATACTGTAAGAAAATTTTATTTTTTATTGGTCACATCTTCATCTGTGGATTGGGCAACGAAGTAGCAGAACACTGATGCCACTGAACACTAAGTCATCTTTGTGCTCTTCCCCATCTGTGAGCAAGCCGATAATGTTAAATTGAAAGCGCTATGCAGTTCAATTGAACCTAACCGGCTCACCTTGCTGTCCAAACTTCTCTCAATCTGAGTAATAGAAATGTGGATGAAAGGTACTTACAACAAAAATGTTTTTCCCTCCCCCCAATGGTAATGTCAGCACTTACCTTAAATTATGTTTCTTAATCCGATCTTCTTTTTCTTTCTTGTCTTTTTCATCTGTCCCTCCAGTGCTGCGGCGGGTCTCCGATCCTTACCTTGTGTCTCTCCTCGCGTCCCGGACGAAAATGTGATCTGCGCATGCCCCAAGATGCTTTGCGGCCGCCAGAGATTTTTCACATTTTTGCACGGGAGCACGTTTGGAAGACACAGGTAAGTAGTAACCCTTTTCAAAGCATTTTTTAAAAAAAATACTTTTTGCATATATCTACTGCTTTCTAGCAGTAGATATATGCAAAAACACCCGGGGCTTTATACTTTAAAGTACATTTTTAACTGGTTTATATGGTGGTTTTGCCAGGAATACTGTCTTTA